TTGGCTCCTTTACATTCTGAGTACAAACTCGCTCTGTATCCTCTTTCATATCTCTGTGTATTCTCCTAGAGTCTCTGGAATATTTTGCCAGCTTTCTCTTCAGCTCTCTCTTTAGCTCTCTCACTTCTCTCCGAAACCATGTCTTTGTGTATTCGTCAATATCGTGAGAGCAGCTGGGTAATGGTGTGGACGAACCAAACTGCTGAGGTGGGCTTTGGCTCAGCTTGGCTGGAGTTTCTTTATGCCTAGTCTTTGCTGGTGAGAGATACAACTACAGTTATAGCTGCTAGATCGATAAAAACATGTGTGTTTACTGATCAATGTTAGACAGAAGGAAAGACATGATGGTTATAGAAAAAGCATCTTTCTTATACACTTTTAATACCACACACTATCCTCACTTATGACTGGGTGCTGATGCTTTCCTGTTTGCGTTTCATGTGTCTTGTCCGAGCTCTCTTGGTCCCTACAATTGAATAAGCAGCTATACCAGTCTATTGCACATAGCTTGGGGTATTAAACATGTGTCAATGACTAGGTAGCGCGGTATAAAGGCAGGCCAAACAAGTCAACTATACATGCACACTTCTTAGGACTATTTGGGAGGATACCTAAATCAGAGAAACTGCTCATGTGCGGCTGACCCTTTTTCCTGCTGTTGGTTCCTGAGGTGAGGAATTGAAATCTGCAACCTTCGAAGACTGGCAGTCATACTTTCTTCGTCATCGCTCATGATCTCACTCTGAAAACACCAAACAGTAATTTCTATAAATTCGACTATAGTGCCATGAAGTCTTTCTCACTGTATTTGGATGTAGCAATAAGCACTTAACTGCAATACTATCACGTAGAAACATTTACAATAAAAGGTTGCTCAAAAACAGCAAGTTTAAAGACATAACATACCTAAACTTTCCCTATAAGCATTTAATGAAAATCATAGTCTGAGGATAGGGGAGAGCACTTAAAATGCCACATTCCCAGCAAACATCCTGTTGACATATTGATCAAGAAACAAGGCTCTGGGTGCAGCAACCTATACATGTCAGAGAATGTGGGAGGGTTGTACTTTCAATGAGCTTAACAGAGTAACAGAGCATTCTCATACTTAATGCTGCCCTCATATTACAGTATACTGAGTGGTCAATTACTCTAAATCTAAGCTTTCTTTGCAGAACTGTCAATTATAGTGTCTTAAACACGCTATAGTGCTAGCTTTAAGGGAACTGTCAGTATACAGTGTACGGAATGAATTGTTTGTGTGTGTATGAGTTAGTGTGTTTGGGTGTGTGGAGTGTGTTGCAACTCACAACGGTCAGTGCAGATGTTGCACGGGATTTTTCCAGGTATTTCTTAGGAGTAACTCGATAGAACTTCGTCACGGTGGTGACTGATGTTCTTTGGTGCTTGAATGAAGACTTACGAGGGTGAAAATTTCTGGAAGACGAGCGCGAGAGAGAGCAACGGCGGGAATTTCTAATGGAAGAGTAGGAAACGGAGCTTCGTCGGCTGCTGCAGGGACTAATGCTGGAGGAGATGAGACTTGACGATGATGTCGTGCTATTAGCTGGGCTGGATGGGTCAGAGCTGGAGGAATTAGGGGCTTGATTAGGGGGACTCCTTTCTGAAATGGAGCCGCGGGTGTTGACGTTGCTTGAGTCAGGGCCAATGCGAAAAAGGGTGTTTGGATGCATGTGTTTGTCGCTGACATTTGTCTCCAAATGAGGCTTTTCTGCTACGGCAGTGTAACATGCAGTGTTTGAGAAGCTATCACTCTCTTGTGTCACTCTCCTACCATCTTCATCACTGCTTTTTCTTGGCTGGTTCTGTTGATCTATCTCCCCCGGTTCTTCCAAAATGTTGGAAACACTTCCTCTTGAGTCCAGGGAGAGCTTGCTTCGTCTAGGATCACTGCTGACGTACCCACTTTCCATCGATGAGATACTCTGATCTGTCCGCAGCTCATTTGGTTGCGGTTCTTCTTCTGTGGAATATCTAGGTGTTGCATCATGTTTTGTGCCTCTGTTCTCTCTTTTGTGGTCGGTCAAACCATCTTTTACGCAGGGAGGAGAGAGAGGGGAAAGATGGTGTTCTGAAGAAACGTGTATGCAGGGTGAAGAGATTGGGGAAGGATGAAGGGGGTCTATTGGAGAGACTTTTATAGAGGGAGGGGTGATGGCTGAAGGGGAGGGAATGGCAAGAGATGGATGTGACCGTTTTTGTGGACATAGCTTATTTCTGATGGATATCAAAAAACCTTGACTGATTGGTGGTGTCTGTGACTTTCTTCTCTCTTGGTTCTCGATCTTTGTGCGAAATGAGCTGCAGCGTCGGTTGGATTTTCTCCTGCACAAGGGAGACGAGGGTGAAGAACGACAGAGCCTCGTATGCAATCCATCACTTGGCACCAGTAAATCAGCCGTAATTGGAGGAGTGTCGGGTGTCTGGGGGTTAATTATTGTGTTACGACTGTCACCATCATGATGCTACATGATTTATGTATGTGTGAGGCATTATATGTTGTGTGGTCTCTTTAACAAGTAAAGAGTATTATAAAACTGTGGGTGTGAATGCAACCGAAACAAATTACGGTGAGTTTGGTATGCAAGTACATATCTATCTAAACAGTGCTGTTGGTCACTGAGGCAGTGATGCACAAGGAATGGATGATGTAGCATCTTGTTTGGTGCAACCAAAACATGATGGTAGCCAAGGCCAATGCGAAAAAGGGTCTTTGAATGTATGTGTGCTAGCTAGCTAGCTGATAAAATGCTCTCCATGGGCAAAAAGGCTAGGAGTTAGCATGCTGGGTGCACATTCATTATAATAATAATAATTATGCAGGCGCTCGCGCTGGGGTTAGTTTTTTCTGCACCACTTACACAGAACTGCTACGTAGCTATACACCTCAAGTTGACATGCAATTTTCCGCTAGTTATAGGGTTAACAACACAAAGGGATGATGGCTAGTACGTAACTTACCTTGATTTCTGGACGATAGTGCACTGTACTGGCCATGATAACAACTGGCTGAACCAGTGCGCAGGACGTTGCTTCGACTGCCTGCGTCAATTGGTACCAAGTGGTAGTTATATACACTCACCGCGCAAGACGCGTTTCCTTTCTGCGTGGTGAAGTATCCGGCCAGCGGCGTGACGACATCATGCAAAGTCGCTACAAAACAACAGCGGAAAACTATTCGTCTGCGCGGCAAAAAATGTGTCATGACGTCAAGTATGATTTTCTAGCAATCCGGCAATCAATTAGGTCTAGCAAGCGGTATATAATTACACACTTACCGCGCAAGATGTGTTGCGTGAAGTATATATCCGGCCGGCGGCGTGACGACATCATGCAAGTCGCGACAAAAAACAACAGCGGAAAACTGGAGTCATTCGTCTGCGCGGAAAAAATGTGTCATGACGTCACGTACGATTTTCTAGCAATCCGGCTAGCTACCCTCAACTGTTCCACCCTCCTGCAGGCATTGGCCAGAGTCCTCCTGTTCTCTGGACTCTCACTAACGTTCTCGAACCACCTCTCCAGAACAGAGAATATCTTGTCTCTGGGAGATAGGGGAGGGTGGAGGTGGCTTATTTCAGTCCATACATGTGTACTCTGGTGAATGATTGAGCTAAGACTGTGGCCTCGGTCAGGGTTGATCTCATTGGCTATCTGCAGTAGCTCTCTTCTTGTCAGGTCCTCTTGAACAAACTCCCAACTATCATCTGTGTTCACATGTGCAGATATATATTTTACCCACATGAGTTATGGTAGCTATAAACATAATACAGTGGAACTCCTTTCTAAACACCTGAAATTAAAAAGTGACCTTTTCTTTCCCGCAATAGAACATTACTTTCTTAACCCCTGAAATACACACACCCTTAATAGGGAAAGTCCAACTTTGTGTGTGGCAGGAGTTCCACTGTAGCTATATAGATTTATAACAAAAATACTTCAGGTAAGATCATACCCTGGAATTATCACTTTCATATTCCAAATTTGGATTTGTAGTGTGCATACCATGCTGGCACGCCTAAGTATGCACATATTATTATAGCTACAACACTGGACGTCACTACTAGACGTCATCTGCATGTAGAGTATGTGTATATTATGGTTACCTTCATTTGATGACGTAATGCTCCCATGGTTCACTTGTGTCTCTGTGTTTTCGTCATTTCTGCAGTGATGACACATCAATCATGCACATTCATGAAATATTTCTCATGACTTCATCATTATGGGGATCAGTGTGAGTGTTATTATGTGTACTAAAAATTATAGCTCTGTTTAATTTGTAAATTGCTTCAGTTAAACATTGAACCACTTCAAGAATTTGTTGGAAACAAGTTTTAGCTAAAAGCTGTAAACGAACAAGTTTAATTAAGGATCCTTATAGCCCCATTTACTAAAAATTAAAGGTGCGGAACGGTGCAATTAAGCTATGACTCACTCTCCATCAGTCCTGGAAGGAGGATGATGAACATAATACACTCTCTGAATGTGTACGTTGATGGTGATGGACGCATCGCCTTCCGAATGCGTTCTCTTGTGGGTCTTAGTTTTCTTCTTTGTCTTTGCTCCATCACTCTTTGTCTCTTCAAGCGGTGGTGTCTGAGGTAGGCTTAGAAACCTAGCTAGTGACGACAGTGAATCACCATCAGAATGAGTTCTCTTGTGGGTCTTTCTTTTCTTCATCATTTTCGTTGCATCTGATTTCCTTCTCTGTAGAGGTGTCTGCTGAGGTGAGGGTGTTTCCTCCCCGGATAGGGACGATAGGGAATGACTCCTAATCTTTCTCATTGTCTCTTCGACCTCTTTGTTCAGAGTATCAAACTCGTGACCGAGGGATCGCGACTCTGGTAGAGTGGGGAGATTGGGTCCCTTCTTGCTCCAACTGTGGCTCCTGCCGTGGAGAGTGGCCCGTTTCCTCTGTGGAAGAGGCTGAGGGAACACTGCCTGGTAGCGAGTTGGGCTGGGGAGACTTTCTGGACACTGAGGCTGGGTTTCATTCCTCGAGTGCTGCGGCGTAACAGTACAGGATTCTGTCTCCCCGGTTCTTGAAGGAGACAGTGTGAGAGTATTGTCTGCACTCAGTGGAAGAGAGCAGAGGAAGATGTCTTCATTTCCCTCGGTATGTGAGCGCTCGCGAAAGAGATTTTGTGGGGTTTGAGTGCCAAGACTGGAAACAGAGCTAGAGATTCCAGAGTCTAGGGAGGAGCTACTGATGTTGGACTGTGGAGGAATTGGTATAGGAGATAGTCCTGTGTTACTGCTGCTGGACAAGTCTAGAGGTGACTGTGGGGATGACTGCATGCCGTGGTGTTCTCTTTTCACCTGAAATAGGGAGACGGAGAGTTGGAAAAGGATTATGGTGTACTAGCTTTTGTTTAGAGACTTGACTGCGTGTGGCTGTTGTTACATTCCAGTCATGAATAATGCCATAGGAGGCCTTTTTTAGACTGTGAGAGGGTCCTTATACCAAAAATGCACTAAAACTTTGCCAGGGTATTATATAGCCACTCTTAATAATTATGTCTCAGGGCATTACGTAACAATACTTTTGGTCTAGAACGATAAAAGCTGAGGTAAATCATATCTTATTGGTGTAGTGTGTCAAAGCGAAGGGTTGGACTAAAAATGTGCAAGCTCAACTCTGACCTTTGATACCGACAAATATAAACATCATTTTCGACGCCATTCAGGGGCTATGAATGGCAATTTTTCCTAGAAGTATAGTGGCCTTTCCGCATGCCCAAGTGCGGTTTGATGCTCACTATGCATGATAGCACATGCACCCATATATAAATCCCTGTACTAAGCTGACCATACTTAGCTATAGACGCATGTGACATGAGATAGTAGCTACTGCCCAAATATGGCGAGCTAGAAAAATGATCTACAAATATTTACTTACCCTACTTTCAGCAGTGGCCTTTTACTCAGTAGATTTGCACTTTCTTGCACACTTCACCTTTCGCAGGTAAAAACGCGGACAGTGCTCAACTTTATAGCTAGCTATGCCCAGATCATTGACTTTCCTTGCTATCCGTTGTGTGGTGGACGATTGGAGACTGCACACCAACCAGCCCCACCTACCTTTTTACACACACGCGCACGCTGGCGCCCGCACCGACGATATTATGACTTTGCCTGGCGGCGTCACGAACTGGTGGTACTTATATACGGTTAGGTCTTTTCTTCCCAAACGGGATCAACGAGCGCTTGCTCAACAATTTCCGGCCCGCCCCGGGTTGCGCACGCGCAGTTAACATAGCAACACGACACGGTAACCACCGAGGTCACGCCCCCTTTTTTTGTGTGTCCACGATTTGATCCACCGGAGACAAGAAAGAAGTTCGAGCACACCTTATTGGTTAGTGTGCACAAAAGTGGTGTTCTGTATGTAGCTGCAGGTAACACCAACCTATAGCAGGGAGTTTGCACGAGTAGAGTAAGTACCTACTGCGGCAGAATTCGCAGCAGCTGTTTTTTCCAGAGAGAGCCATTCGCATCTTCCTTTTTTACTGGTGATTGAATGTAATAGTTACGTGTATTTTAACCACTGCTCAAGGTAGAGAGCGCTACCCTGCTGAGTTGCTGCTTTTCGTCCGTACTTACACCCTGGAACGAGCAGGGCAGCAGCCGCTTATAGGGAAACAGAGAAACAATCTCAACCGTAGCGGACTGAGTCTGAACAACAGAATGAGGAGCTCTGCTTCCCACGATGTAAGTTCTATATATTCCCTCCGTCTCTCCTCTCCGTCTAGTTCCTCAGCCCCACCTCCATATTCGCCATGAATAACTGCACGCAATACAAACAACCACTTACTTCTCAAAACATCCACTTAGGCATGGTATTGAGTGGGGACAACAGGTTTTGCAGTGTGTAGCTAGTGGACTGAACTTCCTGTCACGATTTGAGTTTTTCTCTTTCGCTCCTGACCTGTGTATGTACTTCTGCTTTTTACAAACCCAACTTTATTTCACAACTACAAACTGCTACTTCGTTTTCAAGTAAATATATATTAGGCATTTTCATTGAATATTGTGTTTTGCAGTAGTGCCAAGTTTCTTATACAACATAATAATAATAATAATGCTGGCGTGTGTGTGTGTGTGTGTGTGTGTGTGTGTGTCAGGGTCTCCAGCAGATCAGCAGTGGTGGAGGAGGATTCAGTCGAGTGAAAAATCTGAGAAACCTGATTGCCAACAGCCCTCTCAGGAGAAGACGAATACTCTCTCAGTCTATTGACTCTGGTCTTCCTACAGCAGGTACATATATACATATTAGAGTGTTTTTGAGGCCCTCTTAGTAGTGTCTTCACTGCACTTGAACGCCTACAGCTCAGGGCCCCCGTGGCTCTTTAATGCGCATTATTTCCTGAACTTCCAATAAAGGACGCAATAAGCTATAAGACACACTCAAATGTTCACTTTTTTATCACTCTAGTGCAGTTTTACCCTTCAAGAGGAGAAATTGTTGAAGTATTGTGTGTACCAGTGTAACTGTTCTACTACGTCATACACATGCAGGTAGAGGTGTGTTCGGGGTACCACTGGTGACCTTAGTGACCTCTGAGGGAGCTGACGTCCCAAAGATCATCAGACGAGTCGTGGAACATGTGGATAAATATGGTAAAGTGGAGCCCCTAGATCTGAGAACACCCCTGAAATTAACCTTTCTAATAAGGGCTCCTTTTGTTTCCACGAGACATGTTCAATAATGCCTACACCTTACTCAATATTGTGTCCAATTAATTAGTGTCCTAATTAGAGGGGGCTTGCTACCACTACATAACTAACTGGTACTTTTGAGCATCTATGTACTGTAGATGTAAACCCCTTTATGTCCTACACATTACCCATACATTGGCATGTGTTGGCTTGGCTGGAACAAAGCAGTGCACTTTATTCAACTCAATACTGAGACACATAGGGAGGGTACTGTGGCTATGCCAATACACGTAGTGTACGAGCTGCTACAAGCATCCTCTACACATGTACTCTATCGTGTACCTACCAGAGAACAGGAAACTTTTCAACGGAGAAATCACTGGACACAAAAATTTCGCGTGAAAAAGCTTTTGCCAACAGCTCTGAAACCACAGAGTTTGCCCGCCACGTGGTTCCCCTCGTTTCTCCCTGTGTGCAGGACTGAAGGAAGAGGGAGTCTATAGAATCAACGGCAGTGCCAAGACCATTGAAAAACTCAAGGCTTCCTTCAATGCCGGTACATTTTATACCTATTTATGTAAAAAGTTTGGGGGAAAATATTTTGCAAATCATGACTTTTTAATAGTTTTACTAACTAAGTTGGTTGGCATTTGTGGTGTGCTAAAAGTACATATTACGTATAATATACTTTCGCAATTCCATAAAATTCACATTTTTACAGCATGTACAAGAACATACTATATGTACAAAGATCAATTGTAATGCAGTTGGAGACGCAGATTTCACGGATGTGGATGTAGCAGCAATAGCTGGCCTTCTGAAACTATTCCTGGTCAGCATATCAACATGACACTACTATAGAGTGTACTATTGTGTATTACTCTGCAGAGGGAGCTGCCTGCACCAGTCATACCTCCTGACATTGAGGCTAAAATGGTGGACATTCAACAGAGTAAGAACTGAAATCTGAACCATGAACAAGTTTCACTGTCCAACAGTTTGGCTTTGTTATAATATCTTCCCCAAAAACCAATTCTCAAGTGTTGGGGAAATTTCACTCCCTCCCTCCACCCCCTCCCCGCAGAGCACCCAGGAGAGATGACAGAACAGGCGGGTTCTCTACTGAGAGACTGTCTCTCTCAACTGCCTGCCATAGAGTTGGCCGTCTTCAAATATATTGTCAACCATCTCTCTAGAGTCGCCCAACACTCAGGTATGATAATATTACGTAGGGACATAAAGGGAGCTATTGACTTAGAGTCTTGCAAACTACTGTATGTGCAAAATTGGGGTCAGATTAAGCAAACTGCTACACAATCAACATCAACTGAATGTGAGAATGGATTATTCAGATACACACTGAGGTTACCAAATCTTGTTTGCAATTGAGTAAGAAAATTTGAAACATCCCCTTGGCACATACATACACGTGCCATATCTCTCTCTCCGCAGGATTCAACAAGATGACTGCGGTGGCCCTGTCCATAGTGTTTGGACCGGGGATATTCCACTGTGGAGGAGGACTGGAGGGAATGAGGCTGCAGGGGTACGCCAACTCTGTCCTCTGCAGATTCGTCGCTCACAACTCTACTCTCTTCCAGGTACAGATGCATGCCATAGTGCCTGAGGCTATTTGTTGTTGTGGTCGTCATGGAAACGATGTTACACACATGCATACCAAGTTTCATGATTAGAGGCTATGTAGTAGTTTGTGAATGTTTCAAGTCAAACGTAGCCTTATGCACATTCCGCCGTGTTTAATTTTTTAATTTTGTAATCTAATGTACACCATCATTTGGAAAGTGCAGACAATTTTGTTGTTTTAAGCACAGAGTTACCATTGTCTTCCACTTCAGCCATCATCATCAGTGGTGAGTCCAGAGAGACCAACCAGGCCAGAACCATACACTGAACACATCCGAAAGAAAGAGGTATGTTAGGTTAATAGAGAAGGGTTTCTCATTTTAAGGGTGTCCTTAGAGAGGGGTTCTACGCATTTTAATCCTTTCCATGCAACCCCCATAAAGGGATCTCCTCTGTCCCCGGAAGCCAGAAGTCACGAGCGAGGGTTGTACGCTGAGAGAAGTGTAGATGAGGCAATGGACCAGTCTTCTGACAGCCTCTACTTCACTCCACCTTCTCCTCACACACTACAGGGTACATACTTTAAACTGTACATTGTGTTCTGATCTGTAGTGTACTACATCCAATTGCATGTGTTCAATAATATGATTTGTCTTTCCCTCTGTCCTTCTCTCTGTAGTCTCGTCTCCCTCCACTCCCCTCTCCCCCACCTCACCCCCTCTCCCTCCCTCCTCTTCCTCCCCCTCACCTGATGAAACACCACTCAAGAGACAACAACCTGTCAAGAAAGGCAAACACAGTGTCATCAGGTAGCACTAGCTGCATTCCTCATACTTTATTTCTACTCCCATTCTTCCAGTCCCATGCACCAAAACTTCATTCCTATACTCCAAGGCTTCCATTTCCATGTCCCATGATATCATTTTCCATGCTCCCACCTTTGCTTCAATCCCATAACTTCATTTCCTATACTCCCATGTTTCTGTTTTCAGGCTCCTATTCCTTCATTCTCATGTCCCAATGATTTCATTGCAATACTCCCATACCTCTATTCCTAATCTTACAATAATAATTATTATTCCGATGTTCAATGTATTTTGGTAACACTCCCAAGACTGCAAGGAAAAATGAATCTAAGAAAAACTGAAGAGATACCCTGAGTGGCTACTCATGACACTCTGTATACCATACACATTAGGTCCTGGAGTGCAGATGCATCAGACCATCCAGCCAGACTGACCAACAGTGACACAGTCTACACACATCGCCCTAGCATCAAGTAGGTCTGGGCTGTGCACGTCTAATGGAGCAGGCATACGGTCATGAAGTTGCTATTCGGGGGTCAAATGTTGGCATGAAAACTCTTCTTGGGAAAGTCTTGATTTCAGGACAGAGCATGGGGACTCGGTTTTAACTAGAAGAGCTTGACATAATGAAGGAAAAAACGTCTGGATACTGCGTGCCTACCTATAGATATTGAGTCTTTAAAATGTGTAGCAGTATAACTGCTGATTGGTCTATTCTCCTTGTCTCCAGAGAGAGCCTTTGAGCGCTGAGAGAAAACCAAGATGAATAGTCGTGTCGCTCTCTCTCTCCCCTTCTCTCCAGCCATTTGGCCTCCACGTCTCAGAGGGTCCCCCGACAGTCTCCCTCCCTCCTCCTTCACTGCTCTCACTCCAGATCATCCAAGTAGTCTCTCTCCCCTGTCACCCATACTATTAGCCATCTTTAAGGTCTCAGGGGACACGACACTCCCGTTCATATTGTATGTTCCGTTTGTGAACGGTTGCCGCCCATGCTCTCGAAAGGGTGGGTGGTTGATGGCCCTAGTGTCTGACAGCCACATGAGTATTATTAAGGTATTATTAGACTTTTCACTTAATTCGTTCTGATTCCATTAATTAGTGTTATCAGCACAGTGATAGAGGGAGCGGTGAAAGAAGAATATTCTGTTTGGACCTTCAGCGCAAGGACAACGTTGCCGATGGACACTCGAGCAAACAACCAAGTGGCCAGGGTGGGACTGATGCTGTTTTGTGCGTTAGAGGTCCACACCTACTTTAACACCTGGCCGTGTCGTTCTTGACGCCGTTGCTGACGTGCCCTGATCGCCGTGTACGGCCGCGACATGACCAGACGCTTTACCGGTGCTATACGGAGGGCGCCCCCCCCCCCCCTCAGGGCAAGACCATATGTGAGTTCGATAATACTCTGACTCTAGAATAGAAGTTGAGCACGCCCACAAGAAATCCACGTGAATGCCATCAAGTGTACGGCGCAATGAGATTGACAACAATCAAGCAATACTATGAGCAGGTCGCTACGACAGTGTTGATGTAGTGAGTGCCGCCATCAGTCTATTAGACCCTGTCAGTTCAGCCTACGAAGACAACTATGAGTTTTTGGTCACCGGGTCTGATGCTAGAAGGGCAGAGCCGCTGAGGTGAAGTAGATAATGTGATTCGCGATTGTTGACAGCAAGGCAAAAACAGCAGAGTAAGTGGATTGAGTGTGAAACGGTGGACATGACGGAGAAACGTGGAGCTGAGATTCCGGCCGTAGCTAGTATCAGCTTAACAGATAATTATTCTATGCTGCGTGACCATTCTGAGTGGTGCTTTTTGTGCGAGAGAGATATGTGACAAGACAAGTTTCTGGGTGGAATGAACTGCCCGCTCTATATGTGACGTATATACGACGTCATATGCATGCACTACATTAGGTGGGTTTGCGACAGCATTTGGAGGATACACGACTTAGGGAAGACTAGATGTTAGATAGTGGTCATCTACACTTGCTTGACCAGTGAGTTGTTTCTACACATGTGTCAGGTGTTCTCACGAAGTCGTGGAGTCCAAAGCGTGCGTTGCAGGGGGTCTTGGTGCAGTTGGGGTTGCGATATCTGGGGGGTTCTAATCTTTGTATCGGTCAGTTTGTTTTGATTGAATTTGTTGCGGTCCCTTCTCAGGTATTGTAGAGAATGTACAACAAACAGTAGTTTTCGTAGCTCATATCAAGCCTGATATGTTTGTAAATTACACATTTGTATTAAACTGACAACAGTAAAAGACGTAAGCTAGCTCAAGACACATTTTTGAGATCAACTTTGTGCCACTTGTATGGACCGTGATCATGTTATGGGTTTATACATACATTGTTGTAGGCTCGTCTGCTCAAAGTAGTATCCCATTCTCTCTCTGCTCGTGCGTGATTAGGGGAATGTGTGTAGCCTCTGAGCGTCTCAGGTACAGAACGAGTGACAGCCTACATAAGAGAAGAAAATGGCCAAACAAACACTTGTTTGACTAGTGTTTGCTTGATGACACGACTGGCCTCGTCATGGGATTGGTATGGGGTACTACGTATGTAGTGCGTGTGGAGCGTTGAGTCTGAGCCTACAGAGAGATCAAACATTTTGTCTTTCCCACTTTCTGCTATGAGATCCGAGTTGCAACGTCAGTCACAGAAATTTTTTTATGAAAAAGTCGCGTGATTCGTGTATCCTCATGCAGCATTTACTGTGTATTATATGTGCAATACGGATGAATCCTATAGGAATGTTTCCATGATGTGCACACGATGTTGTGTCACGGGTTCCATGCGGCCGTATTATGAGGCAGACCTTTCTCTCTGTACACGAACACGATGGCAGTGCTCTGCATCACCATCATCCACTGCAAACACACCTCAACAGTGTGATATAGGGTAGCAGAGATGTGGGACGAGGTAGCAGGATGAGCTAGTGCAGCAGATAGTCTTGAGCAGCACTCATGCTCAGACACACTCATCATGTATGTGATGTGCTAAGTCACTCCCTGAAATTTATTGACTTTCGAAGCACGCTACGTACATATGTTACTGCTACCTAGTCGTGCTGCCATTGTGCGCATGTTAGTCGCTCAAGCATGCCCCACTTGGACAAAGAACTGTGCATGTAGTGACGGGTGGTTCTAAGAGTGCCACTCTGTTGTGGCGCGTCCTGACATGGTTCTGCCACGAAATACGATTATTTGCTACTATACTGTACCTTAAGATATTTTAAGGAGCTGTTGCTGTTGCGTGAGGCCTGTCCTGTGTGAGAGGTGTACTTCACACATGCAGAAGTAGATAGTAGATACATACTGTTTGCAATTGATCACATTTCGTGTGCATTAATCGTCTCCCGGTTCAGCTGACAAAGACCAGGCCAATACGACCTAGCAATAGGAGACTACCAGGGAGCAGAATTATCACCTCTCTCTCTCACCTCACCTCTCCTCCTCTGGCCCATGCAGCAGCACAGTGACTTGTGTGCAGTGAATGACAGGGAGGGAAAGATGAGAGGGAAGAAGAACCGCAGTAGGAAAAGGTCATGCAAGAAGCAGAGACGTGGATGGACTGGCAGTTCAGATGAGTACGAAGACACTAGAAGCGAGTCCTAGACGATGGGGAGGATAGAAAAAGAAAGTGTGAGCTATGTTGAGTATAGGTATATACCTGATTACTGGATAACTCGGGAAACCTGGACTACTATGGTCTCATATACTGTACTGGAAATTTGTCCCCCATGTCAGAGACAGAACAGATGAAGAGAAACAGCCGCTTGCAGAGTGGCAATTTGCCAAGTTTTGGCCTCATGTTGGGCATATCTGTCCCTTCCCATAGAACAAAAATATAGGATACGATAAATAGTCATGGACAAGTTTGTGTTTGGCATGCATTGTACATGTGACACTCTGCTGCATAGCATGATTAATGAGGTGCTCGTCTCCGGATCATACCTGCTAACCTACCCTGGTGCATACATACCTGTATAATATAATCTTTGCTACAGTCTCCCAAGTCACTCCACAGACGAAATCGTAGTCACCGAGGATCAGGACTGAGGTGGCCCCTGAGACATTCAGCACTAATGAGTGGTCTGTTTCTACTAAATTACCATACTGCGTAGATGTGATGAATAAATACATTAGCTAGACAGAGTGAGCAGTATGTAGGAGGTTTATGTATGAAGGATAGATGAACTTCTGTTTATTTTTTTCTGTTTTCTTCATTTCAGTTTCTGAAGGTTGGACAGAGGAGACAGAGGGAGAGATATTCAGGGACCATTCACGACCTTGAACCGCTTGCCTCATGTTTCACCACGACCCAGTAGCTGTCCCAATATTGGGAGCACGAGAGTAAAAAGGCTCTTACAGAGATGGGGAAACACCAGAGAAAGCTGTATTTTCGTGGAAAAGTCCAGCTCAGTGAGATGACAGCTGGTGAAGATAAGAGAGCAAGTAGGAACAAAGATAGACATAGTGAGTCATCTAAGAAAAGTTCAAAGTGAGATGAGAGGAGAAGCTAAGAAGCTTAAAAAGCTGGAAGATAAAGAAACTAGGGAGCTAGATTACAGAAGGGAAGCCAAGCCACATGCAGATACCAAAGAAAGCTACAAACTGGCAGGTGGCTGAAGGAGAGAAGCTAGGAAGATGAAGGAAGAAGAAAACAAGTGGCGAAGAAAGAGGATAACAGAGAAAGGAGGGAAAGAAAGGGAGGCTCTTTGAGAATAGGAGGAAGTGGGGAGAGGGGAGGAGGGAGGGAGAGTGTGGCAGGCCACACACCAGGTCTGGAGGTGACTCTTAAAGGGAAACTGATTGACCGGTTTGTCTAGAAAGAGAGCCAGTTCTGGCAGACCTGAGGACCTCCAGGTATTCAACAGTGAATCTCTCTCTTGTGTGTGCATACATACGTAACTCTGCTTGGTTCGCCGGCACAGGAGATGAGCCAGGCTTTCAGCTGTATTGGATTGAGAAGACTCGGTCCAGAGAACACTGGTTTGCACTTTGAGAAGATCCACGGAAGACCTGTTAGTTTTGTGGGAGATGTTTTTGACAAAATGAGCGTAAATGGACATGTATTTTAAGCTGCATGTATTGCTAGATGCCGCCAGATTCCAAGGATGATGTTTACGCTTTGTTTTTTCTATTCGTAACATCCATCAGTTTGGCAGTTTTTTAAAACAGTGTCTGAAAGATGCATGTATTGAGAATTGTATGATGAAATATCAGAGTATTCTGTATTGCTAGGCCCCTATCCGCATTCATAAGGCTGCTATTGTTTTGTTTCTTGTGGCACGTGGCAGGGGGGACAGTGGCAGACAAAGAGCTGATGAGGCCACTCTATGAGAGGTTACGGGAGGTTAAGAAACTGCTGTCAGCTCACCGCTCCAGCGGACATTCATCATCAAAGCAGCAGAGCAGGGCTACTCAGACAACATCAGGTA